GAATCATAGTTTTCTCATAGGACATGGGGGAAGGTATTCTAGCTGGAAGAAAGAACAGCCATAAAGACACAAAGTTACAAAGGACCTGACCCATTCAAGAGGAAGGAGATGTGATACATTTAGTGCCGGGAATTTGGGCTACTTAGGATACATGGGAAGAGGCTAGAGTTCAGGTCGGACTGGGTTTGCTGAGTCAAATCAAGAGGAAAGAAGGGGCAGAGATTGAGTTCCTACTGTATGCCTGGCTCTGTGTTGGGTGGTCATCAATTTACGTTTAACTCTGATTTTTGTTAGTTGTAGAGATTAAGACTTTATTGCAAGACGGGGATAGGAACATTTCTGCTGGCCTATCAATTCCTTTCACCCTCTGATGGCAGACTGGACTGTGGTAGCAGAAATGGTGACGTGGGTGGAGATTCCCACAAACCACTGTTTTTTACAAAGGAACTGCAGTCAGTGCCTGCAGCCCATCTTGGTTTTGCTGCAGAAGAAGCATGTGTATTTGGTGTGTTGGTGGATTTCAATTTTCGGGTGGAGATTCCCACAAACCACTGTTTTTTACAAAGGAACTGCAGTCAGTGCCTGCAGCCCATCTTGGTTTTGCTGCAGAAAAAGCATGTGTATTTGGTGTGTTGGTGGACTTCAATTTTCGTCGCCTTTATAACCATTGAGCCATCTCTCCATCTTCACCATTTTCTGGAGGGAGGCACTATAGTGGGTCTGACATTTAATGACCATGTTGGCCTTTCAGTGTGTCTAGCCATGTCTCTCTGTGATGTAGGTCCAAGCCCAGAGAGTTGAAGTCTGTTTTTTTTGGGGGGGGCAGGGGTTCCTGTAAGCATATTAGAGAATAGGAGTGACATATTGCATATTAGTTTATTTAACTTTTAGGATGAAGTCTGTGGTAGCAGGGGAGGTTAGGCTAGAGTGAGGAGAGAACAGTCCTGTAGTGAGAGAAACCATAGCCTTTAGACAAGAGGTTTTCATGGAGGGGTGGAAAGGCCAGTGGCAGGTGTGTGTGTGTGTGTGTGTGTGTGTGTGTGTGTGTGTGTACATACATAAATACATACATTATTACTATTATTTTAATGAGATGAACCAAATAGACCAGGCTAGCATCAAACAGTTCTCCTGCCTCAGCTTACAAGTGCTGGGAATATAGTCATATACCAAGCACCATGCTTGGTATAGTGTTTTAAAGATGGGCAAAGCAGATGGCTGGGTGGTGGAGCACGCCTTTAATCCCAGCACTCGAGAGGCAGAGGGAGGTGGATCTCTGTGAGTTCGAGGTTAGTCTGTCTACAAAGCTACACAGAGAAACCCTGGGTTGAAAAACAAAAAAAACAAACAAACAAAAAAGATGGATCAGATGGGTTCATGTGAGATTATAGGGTGATGGAAGATGTACTCGAGGAGGGCAGGGCTGGAGTGGTTAGATGAAGCTGGGCTGCAGGAGACAAAATGTGCCAGTTGGCAAAGTGCTGAGTCACTCAGGTTATTTTGACCTGAGTGTTCTCCGCCCCCTCCTTTCTCTCTCTCTCTCTCTCTCTCTCTCTCTCTCTCTCTGTGTGTGTGTGTGTGTGTGTGTGTGTGTATGTGTGTGTGTGAGAGAGAGATAGGGTCTTCACTATGTAGCCCTGGCTGTTCGGGAACTCTTTGTGTAGACTAGGCTGGCCTCCTTGAACTCACAGATATCTGCCTTAGTGCTGGGATTAAAGCTGTATGCTACCACACCTGGCTCTCCTTTTTTTTTTTTTTTTTTTTTTTTTTTTTTTTTTAAGACGAGAGTGGGTAGTAGGTGGTGGGTGGGTGGTGGCAGGATCTTATCTGTAGTGTGGATTGATCTAGAACTCACTATATAGCCCAGGCTGGCTTCAAACTTTCAAAGCTCAAAGCTATTCTGTATTCTCTTCAGTGCTTGGGTTATAGATGTGAGTCATCATGCCAGCATTTTGTTTTGGCTATTCACCCCCTCCCTACTTTTTGGGGGCTGGGAAGGATCCTGGGTATTGAACTCAGGTTATCAGGCTTGGTAACAAGTGTCTTTTACCTGCTGAGCCATTTAGAAAGCCACATACCTTATCATTTGAAGTGGTCCCTTACTGAACCTAGAACTCACTGATTGGCTAGCTGGGCTGGCCAGCAAACTCTGGGGATCCATCTGTGTCTGCCCTACCAGTGCTAGGATCGATCATACATGGCTTTTTTTACGTGAGTGCCAGGGACCCGGGTTCAAGTCTTTAGGCTTGCATGACAGGCACTTTGTCAACTGAGCTATCCCCCTGGCCCCAGCTGGGTTTATAAGCTTGAGCCACATGCTTATCTTTCAACCTTAGTGTTCTATCAGTGCAAAAAAGGAAAGAGGCAATAAGATGGGCAAGGTGGCTCATATCTGTAATCCTAACATTTGAGAAGCACAGCCAGGATTGTAGCTGTAGGCCAGCCTGGGTTACATAGACAGATTCTGCCTAAAACAAACAAGCAAACAGCAACAAAAGGGCAATAAATATATATGTGTTTTGTCAGCAGGAAATCATTAAACAAATGTTAAGCTACATTATCAGGGAGCTAGCTAGTCAACTGCATGATCAAGCTCAAACAGAATTAGGTGATATGTGGGATATCCTGCAGTGATGATGAATGCTTGTGTTCTCCCTCCCTACAATTCCCTACGTAAATATAACAGTTTCCATCCTGGGGTGGAGCTACTGGTCAACTGAGACTTAAATCCATCGTTAGTGACCCTACCCTGAGGTACTCACTTCTTACTTTGAAAACAGGTATTGGCCAAGGAAGTAGCTCAGTGGTAGAACATATGTTTAGCATGTTCAGGTCCCTGGGTTTCATTCCAAACATTACACACCCATAAAGATGGATCTGAAGTGGTACCTGAGGTCCCAATCTGGAGGCTGTCTATTTCCTGGGGCTTAGAATCCATAATCTCTGGCAGTCTTGCAAAAATATCCCTGACCCAGGAAAGGTTAACAGTCATTGATTTTTTTCTCATCAGAAATTAATAACAATATCTACTTTTAGGGAAAAGGACTGATGGTGGAAGTAGGAGGTTTTTATTAAAAAATTTCAACCTAGCTGGGACGTAGTGGGGAATGTCTGAAATCTCAGCCCATTCAGGAGGTAGAGGCTAGAAAATCTCTGAGATCCTGTCTCAAGAAACCAAGTGATAGTAATAATAAAGAAAACAAAAACCTCAAGCTTCTTGAACTGTTTAGGTATGTATTAGCTGTGTTTTTAAAAAATGTCATAGGAGTTATGTGTGTGGTGAGATAACAGTCCTTTTTAGATTTTATCTTTATCCCTCTTTGTGTTTAACACAGACAATACAAACATGATTGATACACTTGTAAATCTGCATTATCACATACACATACAAATCACTGCACTATTCAAAGTTCATCCTCTATTACATAAAGCAAAGCATATCTAAATACCACGAATGGCCAGTTTCAACTCAGTAAAATCTGCACACCCAACAGACAAGATGGGAAAGACATCTTCAAGAGCTTCAAGAACTCAAAAAAGGTTAAATAAAGAGTATTACCCCTGCCATCTCAGGCTTGTCTTTTTTTTTTTTTTTTTTTGAGACAGGTTTTCTCTGTGTAGCTTTGGCTGTCTTGGAACTCCCTCTGTAGACCAGGCTGGCCTCCAACTCAAAGAGAGAGATCCACCTGCTTCTGCCTCCTGAGAGCTGGGATTATAGGTGTGCACCACCACTACCTGGCTTGCTACCTCAGTCTTAGGCAGTAGTGGAAGAATGTCTCAAAACTGTTTGTCTCAATTGGACATTTAAGCTTAATGGCAAAAGATCAATTAATGATAACAATGAATCCTAAAGACAAGGAGGATATTTTATGGGCCTTTTGTGTGTTAGTTTTAAAAATTAGCACCTAATTTAAAAATTACTTAAAGCATATGGATGTTTTGTCTGAGTGCATGTTTGTGTACCATATATGTTCCCAGGTGATGGCAGAAGTCTGAGGAGGTCACAGATCCTCTGGGGCTAGAGTTACAGATGGTTGAGAGCCACCATATGGGTTCTGGGACTTGAATTTGAATCTTCTAAGACCAGCTAGTGCTCTTTAACTGTTGAGGAATCCCTCCAGTCACAAAACCAGTTATCTTTTAATGGAAACAAATTGATCAAAACTCTTTTACAGAATTTCAAGAGCCAATATAACGAAGCAATAAAACAACACAAAACTCAGACAAGTGGAACTGTCAAATACTGTGTATTCTAGTCGGCTGTCATGCGTGTTGCTTTCTCCATTTCTGTGATCTGACCCATAAAGCCTTGCTGTTGAGTTTCGTGGTTGAAGCGATGGAACACAACATTGGGTTACATCCACTATTCTCCCCCACGCAATCTAGTAATTTCTCTATTTTCACGTCATATTTCCGGGTGTATGTCCAGACTCACGCAGAAATTGAAGTTCAGAGTAGTCAAGAGCCTCTCATGCTCTTTTTGATGTCCCCAGAAACCCAAATGCATTATGTGGGGTGACACCCGGAGACCGCTGGCTGATTCCCACGTGCTAAGAGGCTCACGGTCTCGCCCCCACGTGGTGCCAAGGGCCGGGAAAAGGGAGAGCGGGCAGAAGCGAGCCCTATCAGGGCATTTAAAGTGTCTTGACGTCACGCACTGCCAGGAACTCAGCTGAGTTTTCAGCAGGACATTCCACTAATGTTTCCTCCCTCCCCCCGAGCTTTTGAGAGCTAGGCCTCCGCTCTTCCCTTGATCGCGGAGGGAGGAGCACGAAGCTCTCGGAACAGCCTGCTCAGGGAGGCGTGCCCAGACGTCTCCCGACCCCACCTTCTGCCCTAGAGGCGCTTCTCATTGGTCAGTGGGCGGGGCTTAGGAAGCAGGGCTCTCGCCTCGAGGCCTCAGGGTGGCCTAGCCAGCTGGCCGTTCTTTAATTATGCATGGGGGCGTGTCTTGGCCAGTTGGGAGCTGGGTGGGGATTGGCTGGAGGGGCTGTAATTCAGCGGTTTCCGGAGCTGCAGTGTAGACAGGGAGGGGGAACCTGGGGTTCCGACGTCGCGGCGGAGGGAACGAGCCCTAACCGGATCGCCGAAGCACAACCCGGCTCGGTGTCTCCTGATCGCGTAGGCTAAGAGAGGCTAGGCGGCCCTCGGGAGCCCAGCTGCTCGCGTCTCCAGCCAGCGCAGCCCGGCCAGTCGGGCCTCAGCCCGGGAGACAGGTGAAAGGGGGTGCAGGGTGGGGCCACCTCCCCGACGGCATGCCAGCTGGTGGACTTCGCGGGGCGTCGCGCGGTTGCGGCTTTAGGGGTGGATGGACACTTAAGTGAGGCGGGAGGATAGGAGGAGGCACAGAGGGTCGCTCAGGAGGGACTGCTCCGCTGATGACAGGAGCCGGCCTGGGAAGGGAAGCGGCGCTGGAAGTTTCGAAGGGGAGATACGGAGGGAGAGTAGGAGTTCCGGGGGAGGAATCGTGGGGCGAGGGCATTCTAAGCTGAGGGTGACAGATGTGAACTGCGGCCCTCCAAAGCCCGCTCCCCGAGGCTAGGGACATTCAGGCCACCGGAGCCACTGTCACGCCGGCGGAGATCATTGGGGCGGGGGAGTTAGAAAGCGCCTCCTTCCCGCCCCCGTGCTGGGCCAGGCGGCTCGGTGCTGAGCCACTTTCTTCGCCTTGTCTTGCTTCTGCCCCTTCAGTAGCCAGCTGTATTCCTTCGGAGGTGGGAACTGGCGTCCTGTCCCCCCACAGCCTCTTGGGCTGGCTAGCTGTGGCTACGATTTTTTTCCCCATAAGAATCATATTTCCTATAGGAAATTGACAAACTTGTGTTCTTTCTAAATTTTCATCCACCACTTTCAATGTTAAACTATGCTTCCCCCTCACCTTGTTAAAAACATTTTTTTCTTTTTCTTTTTTTAATTCAAAGTAAATCCCTGGTCAAACCAGCTCTAAAGAGCGACAAACCTCTTTCCTCTTTGACATTGTTCTCTCATAAATACCTGGTAAACTGGACTAGACAATAAATAATTGAGCCATTGCGTTTACTGGATTGTGGTGTTGCTTAATTGCACAGGGCAGAATGAGCCAATCAAGAGTGGGAGTTTTCTGTCTCAGAGCCAAGCTCTTGGGTAAATGCAGAAGATAGGGAAACAAAGACTGGTTGGCCTTGGCTGAGCTCTGTGTGTAAACTTTACCTGTTGGGGTGTGTGTAGCAAGTTCAGTCACTGAAGTCACTTTTCTTACCTAGCCACATCACTCTGTTACATCAGATGATATGTGTGTTCATACAGTCAGAGATTAGTCATTTTTCTTATTCAAAATGTATACAGCCTATATCTGTTTCCTATATTAAAGGCCTTATTTATTCTGTGTATGCATTGAAAATGTCGGGCTGACAGGTAAAGCATTGATTTAAATTTATCAAAACAATAAATCATCTCCACCTATGTGGAATTAGACTGTAGAGCTTGAGCCAGCCATTTTTTTCTTTTTATATTAAATAATGTCCATGTTCCTTGAGGAAACATGTTTGTTTCATTATTGTATGTGCCAGCCCAGAACACTAGCAGAATTTCTTTTTAGATTTTACTTATCTTCATTTTATGTACGTGTGTGTTTAGCCTGTATGTATGTGTGTATACCATGTGTGTCCAGTGCCCAAGGAGGCCAGAAGAGAACTTTGGCTCCCCTGGAACTAGAGTTACAGATAGATGACAACATGTGGGTTTTGGGAATCAAACCCAAGGGTTTTGGAAGAGCCCTTGGAAAGAAAATCTGGACTAATAATAATGAAAAAGTTGGAATTTGTTCTTAGTCTGTTGGCACACTCGCCACAAAAAACCGTTAGCAGATTCATGAATCTTTTATTTTCATATGTAGTTAATTGGGGACAAATACCCACTTAGAAATCATCCACAACCATGAGGAACTTCAAAGGGACTGTGAGGTAGGTTGTTCACATTCAAAGGGACTGTGAGGTAGGTTGTTCACAGAATGTTAACCTCATTTTGTAGATAAGGAAATTGAGGCCAAAAGGACAAGACACTTGCCTAAGGCATAGTGTGTCACAATGGTGGAAATACTTAGCGACTGCTAGCTAGCTTTAGCTCTGATTGTCCTGGAACTTTGTAGACCAGGCTGACCTTGAACTCACAGAGATTTGCCTTCAGAGTGCTAGGATTAGTGCTAGGATTAAAGGCATGCCCCACCACTGCACACCCCTTTTCTGTTTCTTCCTTGGGAAGTAATTTTTTTTTCTTGTTAGCATTATTTACTATCAAACTCAAGCTATTTATTTAGTTTTCAAGACAGCAATTCTCAGTATAGCCTTGGCTGAAAACCAGGCTGGCCTTGAACTAAGAGACCTGCCTGCGTCTGTGCCACAGGTGGTGGTGGTGGGGCACAGTGCTGGGATTAAAGGCATGTACCACAGCCACCAGGCAAAACGTCAGTTATTTGTTAATGCGTTTATTAATGGATATGTTTAGGTAAATTTTAGGTGAAGGGTAGCTGTGACCTCAATGACATTTAAGCCAGAGAGCCTTGTGGTCAGTAGTCATTTCTATCTGCCGATAGTTCCTTTTCTTTTGGCTTCTGTATGTCTTGACATTCAAATGTGAGAAGGGCAGAGGTGGTGAACACCATTCTAGATGCCCAAGCCAGCAGCCTTTTACTGACGTTTTGTGAGAGATGGTGTACAACTCAGTGGATATGTACTCTCTTTGTGGAAACTGCTGGGGAAAGTAGGATATGTCTTGTTTGTAGAATTTGCATTCTATTGGGACAATTTGATAAATGCTTTATCATCCAATACAACAAGTTCATGTCATTAAAGAGAGGAAAGCATCACACCTAGGGAGGAAACTTTCTTTCTCTTCCCCTCCCTTCCCCTTTCCCCTTTTCTGTTGGGATGGAACCCATCTTGCTAGGCAAGTGCTCTGCCATGAAACTCATTTTATGTCATTTGTATTTTAAAGTTCTAGCCAAACTTTTTGGTCTTTTAACATAAGTCATCTCATAAGACAACCTCAAGTCTCGACAGATTCCCGTTGTTGTGCATCAGCCCCAATGAGATACAATAGGATGCCGTTGCCTCGTTGTCTTTGGTGGTGAAAAGAATTTCCTGCTTGGGAGCCTTGGCTTATTGTAGTACAGATATTTGGGGTGACCAGATTGTATTTGGTGGCAAATTCTTGGAAATAATGTGTTTAAAGGAGTAAGATTTGGAAGAATGAATTTCTACTGTGGTTCTTACTTTTCATATTACATTTGATGTGATTTTATTCAGGTTAGCAAACACACAACACACAAAGGTAGAAAGATGAGCCTTGCTGGTTGCATATGTCTTTAATCCAAGCACTTGGGAAGCAGAGGCAGTTGGATCTCTAAGAATTCAAGGGCAGCCTGGGCTACAAATTGAGTTCCAGGCCACTAGAGACTACATAGTGAAACCCTGACTGAAATAAACAAACAAAAACAAAACATTATTAAGCAGAGGCTGACCATGATGGCTCATGTTCATCATTTCAGCTTGTGGCTAAGTTCTGAGGCAAGAAAGTTGCTGAGTTTGAAGATAGCCTGGGCTTCATGGTGAATTCCAGGTCTGCTTAGGGTAGAGAATAAAACCCTGTTTCCAAAACCAAAAATAGCTAGGTAGATCCAGGTATGATGATGGTACATGCTTGTAATTCAAGTATTTGGGTGGCTGAGGCAGGGGGACCACTACCAATTCAAGGTCAATTTGTCCTGCATAGATAGCTAGTTGGAGGCTATATAGCAAAACCCCATTTCAAGAAAAAATACTCCCACAGAGGCAGAAGGATTGCTGCAAGTTTGAGGTTAGCCAGGTCTACATGTTGAGTTCTAGGTCAGACAGGGCTATGTAGGGAACCCTGTGTTTATCAGAACAAAACAGCAACAAAAAAATCAAAGCTAGGCAGGATCCAAGGAGAATGAAGTTTTGAAATCTCACCCCTGTTTTTATGACTGAAGGAGTAGTGGATAACAGTTTTTTTTTGCCCCCATGCCCCATGGGGACCAGGGCATGTGCTATTGTAGTTGTAGACTTAGGAGTGGACAATGGCTTAAGACTAAGCTACAGAGGCAAAGAAATCTGGGTTTTGACCCTGGATTGGCCGCTTCCCAGTCAGAATATGAGCCTCAGTTTTCCTGTTTTTTTTTTTTTTTTTTTTAAAGGAAGATGAAGAGACCGGCCTGGTGACACATGCCTATAATCCCAGCAGTTAAGAGGCTACGGCAGGAGCAACTTGAGTTCTGGGTCACTTTGAGCTATACAGGGGGACTCTGTCTCAAAATGAAACAAATTCATTAGGATGTTTACAGCATGCTGGTCCATAGCAGCCACTCTGAGTATGTAAGTTCTTAGTGAAGGCCCAAGAAAAGAGAGGTTTGTTCTCTTCAGGGGTGAGAGGGTACAGGAGACCACCTGATAAGTAGGAATCTCTGCAGAGCAGTGAACAGTTTCGTTCAGGGAAGAAGCTTGGGTGTGCAGAGCTTAAAACAGCACAGTGTGTTCAGGGGCTCTAAGTGGGATCAGAGGAAGGAGGCCACAGACAGCCACACCTCTTATTTATTCCCTTGCTTTTGTTCATAATTGCCTTGAAATAGCCTTCAAGTAAGTTGCATTCTTTTCATAAAAGTAATACATGCTGTTGTAAAAAATGAAACTCCTTTTCATGTTAATAGTTGAATGTGTGCTTTTCCAGACACTTTCTTAGTTTACCCATTTATCTTGGATCTACTTACTGAAAATCATTTTAACAGCTCAACAAAATAATATGGAAGACAGATCTACCCCCAGAAGAAAATGATATTTAGACCCTGGCTGTCCCTCCTGTTAGCTACTAGATCTATGGTAATGAATGACTTTACTAACCACTGAACAATTTGCCTGGATTTTGATCTTTTAATTACATCAGTCAGGAAACTCTTTTGACTTTCCTAAGGTAACCATCACAGTGTCAAGCACTTGGGTAATGGGCTTGAGGGTTTCGAGGTATATAGTTGTGTCGGCATTTTAAAGAATTGCTAAGAGGCCAGGCTCCCTTTGTCCTTAGGCTGGTCCTTAGCTTGCTTTAACTTCTTTGGTTTCAATTTCTTTGTCCTAACTGCCCACTGGGTTCACTCCCAGAGTAGTTGTGAAGACCAATCGAGATAATTTGTTACATGTTGTTTTGTATAGTGCCTAGCACATAGCTAACA